TATATATATATATATATAAATAATAGCTTACAAACTATTGATTACATTAATTGTTAATAGGTGATTAAATCAGCATTATAAGACAATAATGAATTAAATATCGCATTACCGTTATCGGTCCAGGTTGTCAACTTATTGTCATAATGGATAATGTCTGTGGTCATAGCACCCAAGTGCATTGGGGATATCCCATCTACCAGACAAAACCCAAATGCCAACGTCAATCTAGTCAGCCGTTTGGATTTTATTTGATAGATGGGATATCCCAATGCATTTGGGTGCTGTTATGACAATAAATTGACAACTGGGACTGATCACAGTATTGCGATATATATTTCATTGTTGTAAATATAGGTTTACTTATACTCCAATTAAAAAGTAGTGATCATGATGAACCAGATTCACAGAAAAAACAATCTTTCCATGCATGTCTTTGTTGAATAATTTATTGGGATATAATGATGACCTTGTTTCCTTTCTCTTGCAGCTTTAAAATTATTTTCTGTTAATAAAAAAAAGTCAGAACTGCAGATTCTATTTAGAAAAGTCTTCAGATCAAACTTTTTATGTAACATTAATGTACGTATAATTAGGTAAGTTGTATTTCACTCTGTTCCTTATATTGAGCAAATAAGGCCTAGTGTTGTACTGAAAAACAACTTCCAGCATGGTTTCTCCTTAATTGTAATGAAGATATTCCTCTTACACCTGTGCTGGAAGGATTTGTCATTCTTAGGAAGAATCCAAACTATTCTGTGTAACTTATTCATACAAGTGTTATTAGTCATAAGGTAAGAAATCTATATTCCAAATAAATTGATGAAACGCTAGGAATAATGGCAGTGCTCCTGCTTTGTTCATATATTTATGAAGTGCTGTTTATAAATGTCTTTTCTTAATAAAACTTGTTAGATTAACAGTTATTGATTTTTACACCCATTTGCCATAGACGAGTGATGGAGACGCTCTAAATAGATTAAAAGAAAGATGTACTAGGTTTGCACTATGCTAGGTCATATACAACTGTATTTCTTTGTACAGGAGGAAAATATTAGTCTAAATGTATTTGCCATTCATTGAACATTGTAGGACAAATTAATGGTTTAGCTTATCAAGTTTTACAAAATAAGTAGTTTATTTTTATTTCACTTTCAACAATAGTAAGAAAGGATTTATATGTTTCAGATTATTTCCGTCAAGTGATGTCTCATACCTGCATAGAAAGAGTTGCTTTTCAGATGTATGTTGCAGTTTGCCTTCACACATGTGTACAAGATGCGAAATTTGTAATGAATAAACTAAGGATTCTTTTTTTTTATGTTTCAGATTTGGTTGTTATCAATGTTGTAACTTAATAATTAAGTTCATTAATATTTGTAACCTTAAAATCTTAATTGCAACAGTTAGTGGCTCAATCATGGTAAATTTAGTTTTTGAAAGGAGGAGAGGGTCATTTTTTAACATGTCAACACTGTTTTTGTTATCTGTTCCAACAAACCTATTTTGCTCCATCTGTAGAGTTCATCTTTGTACCAATCAAAAATAAAAACAAATTCCGGGCCAAAATAAATGGTATACATTGTTTTATTCTAAAAAAAAAAAAAGGCTAAATATAATTGTTTCGAGTGTTCGATCAGTTGTAATGTAGTATATTCCCCGATTTCTTTAAATATCAAAATAATTCCAATCAAGAAACTTAAAATTAATTGTGAAGTGTACTATGATGATAAGACATTTATTGATACTTTGAAATCAATTTCATGGTCAAGCAGTCGTACAAATTACAACAGAGTTATTTGTTTCGTTAAACACTTCTGAAAGTTACTAGGTACAAATAGACTAATAATTATGAAAATCATGACATTTCAAATTATTTAAAGTAACAAGCACTAACTATATTACTCAGTTTCTTTTGTGTTTGTGTGTATTTTTTCCACTGTTAGTTGAGGCTTGTGTATCAGGACTTCTTAATAGAAATTGAAGGCTTAAATCACTCATTTATATCACATTGAACAATATGTGGAGTGACTACTTGGTTTATGCATTATGTTCTGAAACTAATAAAACCCTCATGTTTCAGTAATTCTGAATTTTATAATACTATATACCATTTCCTTTATATTGCTAAATATTTAAAATATTGAGTTTCAAATTAAGTTAGAAGTGAAAAAAGAAATGCTACAACAAGAACAAAAAAGATTCCATTTCTACCCATTTTCAGTTACTGACAATGGACTTTCCATTTATATGTACATTATCTGTGTCATTTTCAATGTCTGTAAATGATGCAAGTTGTTTGTCTTCAACATGACATCTGTAACCTGTCGGATTCTGAGTCTGCCACTGCCAAAAGTCTTCACCTGGTAGAAAACAAAGTTAAAGTTGTACATTACATAATGTAAAAGTTTTTTTTGCACTTGCATAAACTAATGTACAATCAATTAGGAGAGTCTGGGTTATTTAAGTTACATTATAAAAGGAAGTAATACAAATTTAAATGTTAACAAATTACTTAGGTAATTAATCAGTATCATTGCTTATTGGGTTTATAACTTATTTTATTAATGTTAGCTCGAAGTCAAGTTTTAGAATTATTATTTTTCCTTCTGTCCATTGGTCTTTAAATTTGTGTGTGTGTGTGTGTGTGTGTGCAAACATTTCTTGTAGCTATTGGTTCCCGACTCGCGGGTTAGAATCCCCGTCACACCAAACGTGCTTGCCCTTTCAGCCGTGAGGGGATTATAATGTGACGATCAATCCCACTATTTGTTGGTAAAAGAGTTAGCAGTGGTTGGTGATGACTAGCTGCCTTCCCTCTAGTCTTACACTGCTAAATTAGGGACGGCTAGTGCAGATAGCCCTCGTGTAGCTTTGCGTGAAATTCAAAACAAACAAAACTATTGGTCCCACGTTATAGTGTAGCTTATCTAACTTTACTCTGTTATTGTTGTATGTAATGTGTATCATATATTGAAAATTTGTCTCCCACGTGATATAGATATCAGGTATATATACTTACACATTTGATCTAAACCATAAACAGCCTTCCAGCCCAGATCCTTTTCTGCTAAACTACAGTTGCCCCACATGGCCTGAATGTCACCAAGTCTTCTAGCTTCTATTCGATATGGCACCTGTAACAACAACACAAGTTATCAGTATATGGTGTCGAAATATTTTCTAACGTTTTTTTTTGGTTCCCAATTAGAATGACTAAAACCAATCACTTTAGAAAGGTCTGTTAATTTTGTTAAGAAAAATGGAAGCATTAATTTGTACTTAGTGTAGGAACAGCTGCTTATGATTAAAAATACCAACCTAAAAACTATTTCCTTTATATTATTGTTAATTATCTGTCTTTCTAATGTAACGAACTTGATTGTGGACCGTCACATCATTATTAATGGTTGGAGACGGCTTGAATAGGTAATGAAGAAAAACTTTAATATAACAGCAAATGTACAACGTTTCGACAAGGTTTTGTCATCATTATTAGTCTCAAAGTGGGTTCCTCATCATCGAAGTTACATCACTATGTTCGTGTTTTTTTTTTGTCTTTAGGCTAGATTAATGTATGCAAGATGTGCGTAGAAATGTCATTTTAATTAATTGGGCTTAACGTTTGCAGTCTACTTTAACCTGGTTCTTTGAGTATGATTTTCTATTTGTTTCAAACAATGTTAAGTAGTAACAGAAATCAGAAATAGTGAATAATGTTTTACTACAAGTAACTCAAGTTTCAAATAAAAAAACTGATAAAAGTCATTATGTGGTGCTGCTTAACCCTATAGTCATAAAATGGAACAAAAAATATCTTACCGTTTTTTTGCTGACTTTCTCAAAAGCCTGGACGAGCTGTAACACTGTATACCCCGTGCCGGTGCCAAGATTGTAAACCTAAAACATGCAATCAAACATCTGTATTTGTTTCAAGTTTACCCGAATTCATTAGTTCTTTCACATCATTTAGATGGCCAAACGCTAGGTGTGTATGTAAGGAGTTGGATCACACGGTTGGAAGCCTTGAGCGCGACCACAGGTTCTATGTAACGGGAGCGCTTTTAAATCAATAGAAAAATAAGATATCCCTAACGCTATTTGTATATATTATTATAGCTGGGTAAATCTCACTAGTATCCTTAATTAATCTTTTTTACCAGCACCCCCCCCCCCCACATAGTTTCCTCTCACATTAAGAGTTGTTTTTGCTTGAACGCATGCGCTTACAATTATGAAAATACTAGCAGAAACTTCGCCCTACGGGCAGCTGTCTGTGCAAGTATTTATAAGTTATATTATTTAGACCTAATTGTAAAAAAGTGAACATTTTCCAAAAAAAAGTATTGCACGGAAAAGTGTTAAGATTGTGCTCATTAGTCATACGAAACTTATTGTATCAAAATGATTCAATGTACAGGGCTAAAAATTTTCATAAATTTTACCGATATAAACTGTAATGTTTTTATATATTAAAAGTGCTATCCTTTATTGAAAAAATAATAGCTTTTTTAAGAACTCCCATTTCTCAGTACTAAATTTAAATATATCAATAAAGATATAATCAAACCCTCACCTACAGTTATAGAGAGAGCAGTGTTCCTGTTGTGTGGAAGAGTACTTTTATTTAAAATTGTGTTTGTTATAAAGAAATCGTTGTTGCACGTACTATAGTTATTTTTCTGAATCTTGAATACCCAAAATGTGAAATGTTGTTTGTGGTGTCATTCAATAGATGGCGCGACATTTCATGTAGTTTTGGTTACATACATATAGATATATATACGTCCACTATAGTAAGAAGAATAATATTACGGTGAACAAAAACTTACTTAGATCATAAGATACGGTATGAGAACACTGATTTTCATATTTCAGGTATTAATAGATATAAGTACAAAATACGACTTCTTAAAGACATTGTTTCCGTGTTCTAGGCTCTATTACTAACATGAAAGAACCATTTTTGTTTCACCAGATAACAAAATTACTACTAGTTTGTTTCAGAATTTCGTGTAGAACTATGCAAGGGCTAATTATGCGCCCCAAATTTTGAAATGATATGTTACAAAGAAGGCTGATTATTCAATAGCACATCCCCCTTCCCTGGCTACTTTTGTTTGATCGAATAATCACCACTCGTATAGCGCACCCATGAGCCACAAAGTGCGGAGCGCCTTTTCGTGGAGACTGGTTGCGAACCATTAAATCCTGGATTCGTATTGTGGACACGCTAACTAGGTCACGCTCGGCCTAGGACTATTTAATGTAATTTATATACATGTCTGTACACAATTCGCTTCCATTTCTTATAACTTCTTAAACTTGTAACTCACTTCTAAATTAGGCGGCTAACGCAGATAACCCTCGTGTAGCTTTGCGCGAAATTCAACACAAACTTAAACAAATTACCTTGTATCGAGGATTTTCAGCAAACTTCTTCAAAGCTGCAACATGGCCCGTGGCTAAATCCATCACGTGTATGTAATCCCGAATGCCTGCAGGTTAAAAAAGTATCCTTGTTATAAGTATATTTTAACTCTTTCGTAATTTTTATTTGTAACTTAGTCCATAAATTAGATTTTAACTGTCTAAGCCCTAAAGCTTTCATTATACATAAAGAGTTTAACGTATTTTCCCTTTATTACAGAGTTAACCAAAAACGACATATAAAACAATCAACGATGAACCAATACTTTAAGATTTTTTGCGATTTATTTTGTTTTCAGAGAATTAGTGGTGTGAAAAGGGTTGAAAGAAATAAAAAAATCACCTTCTCTTTCAAACAAATTATTAAAATTAAAAAATTGCACACACTCCCTTCCCGTAACTCATAGAAGAGCCATGTCCTCACTCATGGACAGCGTAAATGAGAGTGATTCTATTTTTTATTTAACCCTTCGTTTGCGACATATGTAAATCTGCCTTCCACTCCATGCGCAAAGATTAGCGAATTTTCCCGGCGCACCACTCAAAATGTTGCGCGCAAGATGCTTGCATTAATGATGTCAACCGCAGTTGAAGGGTTAAGCTCGTTTATCTTCTACATGTGGAGTCGGAACTACAAGTTTCGAACCAAACATTCTAATAGTCAGTGACTTTATTAGACTGTTGACTTGGAATTCGTTGTTAATCAGTATTACTGAATTACCTGTTCCGTCGACTGACTCGTAATCTCCACCAAAGATGACCAACTCTGGCAGACGTCCAGTGGCTACCTCTCCAATAATTGGCATGAGGTTAGTGTAAGCTCGAGTGGGATCTTCGCCAATTAAACCAGATGGGTGAGCTCCAACGGGATTAAAGTAACGGAGACTAATGACGTTCCATTTCTGTCATCAAAATGAGTTATGGAAAAGAAATATAAAAACCTTGCAAGAATACAAAAGCTCAAAAATAAAATAAAAAGAGGAAAATCCAATACTCCTAACACTACTTCTATAACATTGACAAGCATATCCCTGTAAAGCACTTTATTAATCAAATGAGTGTATAATTTCAATTAAGAGTTTGTGTGATAAGTATTCATCAGACTTGAAGCGAGACCATTTCTAAAGGTTGGAACTCGGGGAGCAACGATAATGGCAGTAGCCATCCTTAAATACACGAGTTCCTGTGTCATATGGGATCAAAACAACGAAATGTTCAGTTGGAGATTCTAAGTTTAATATATATGTATGTGCACGTACGCGCTTCCTTAATTTGTCCTAGCAGACAGAAATATCCATGTCACTCGACAGCGATCCCTTGTGTATCGAAAACATCTCTCAAGACGAAGGAGTCTGGACTAACGTCGACTAACACTAAAGCAACTATAAAAAGGGTGAATATCTGGATCAAAGTAGTCAACAATAACTTTCAAGGATAGGAATAGTCGGATCAGTGTCCTTTGACGGATAGATAAGTAACACCATTAGTTTTAGAATATTTTTTTCAAAAACAAAAATCTAAAGCAAGTTCCTTTGATTTGAATCCGAAAAAAAAATGTGGCACACGGGAATCTATTCTTAAAATGAAGACCAACATAAGTAATAGTACCTCCTTTTAATTAATAGTATGTTTTAAAAAGAGTTAAGTTGGCCAATGCTGCATAACTACGTTTTTAGCCTGGCTGACTTTGCGCAACTTCTAAACGCGCAAGTCGATATTACCGGTTTGGCAGGTTAGTCAGTCGGTTAGGTTCAAATGTCAAATATACAGTACGATTACAATGGACAAGGACGGTCTTGCTCTCCTCCGAGTAGCAGGTTGTTCTTCGTGTTAAAAAAAAATTATTATTATTTTTAAGTATACTGAAGCCGTAAAATTAATTACCGAAGTTAAAACATGGCATTTGTCATCTAAAATATAATTACAATTATTCAGACATACTAACAACTTTACGTATTTGAATTTTGGGTGAAACATACATAATTACACGTACAATTTTCATTACTTAGGCCACATTCTATTTTTAAGTTGTCCTATTTGCACGTTCACCCGCTTATTGACGGATTTACTGTACATTATACTCGCCTTTTCTGCTCTACAGATATCTTCAAACATTTGTTCTAAGCAATACTTCGTTCTTCCATATACGCTGGATACGTTTCCCGTGGGGTGGGCTTCGTCGATGGGCAAGTACTGTGGGTTTCCGTAGACTACGCAAGAACTGCTGAATACCAGGTTATAAACTCCGTTTTCTCTCATTACCTGTAGTCAAAATATCTCTTTCATTTAAACACACAAAGTTGCAGTTAAACGTTATATATGCGAGAGAAAAAACAAATGTTTGAATTTTCTTAATATTTAACTTTACTCACAAGTTCCCTTTATATTTTCTGTAATATGAATAATAAATTAACTTGGCACAATGTACAACTACCATTTCCCGTATACTCTTGTATCTTACCTAAAGATGTATATTTATTAAAACTATCGCTATTTATCATTTTAACTCAAATTTGGAAAGTAGTAGAAATTATTCACACTGAAAATACTACTGTAGAAAAAGTCAAAATTAACAGAAAAATAAATCACAAAATTAACAGTTTTTTTCCTTGTTTCTTAAGCTCAGTAAATAATATTCATATCGTGCTTTCTCTGTCCTAGTAGCCTTCAATCGGGTTGACTTGCAAAGGCAATACAACGCTATTGTAGTGCTTGAGTGTGTTTATTTTAGAGCAAATTTATATTGGGCTATCTGCTGTGTGCATCGAGGGGAATCGAATTCAGGATCTTAGCGTTGTAAGTCTATAAACTTACCACTGTCCAACCAGGGGACTGTAGTGCTTGAATAATTTAATTTTTCTTGTATGAGCGAACGTGGCCCTTCAGGATAAAGAAATGTCTGACGATTTTATACTACTCTTCGAAAAAACAAACAAACTGTATGCTACACACAAAAAATACTGCTTTTTGTTAGTGAATTTTTCAATATAGATTCTTTTTGCGGAGATCTTCACCATATACGAGTTCAATGCAATATTCCTTTTGTTTGAGTGTTGTTAAGCACAAAATTACACAATGGGCCATTTGTACTGTATCTAACAAGGCCCAAAACATTAATATAAAGCATATCAAATTATCGTGAAAATGCCTACTGCTCTGTACAAATGGTACAACAACAAACTACCGTTTCATTTTGTTCAAAACAAATTCGAAAATGTATATTTTTTAAGGTTACTGCTTACATACATCTACATAGCTACGTTCATTAGACACACTGTTAATCCCAGTAAAGAACAACGGGAAATTTCGACATCCTCTTGGTCATCCCAACAAACTTTCATTTTGATTGCGTCAAGAAGATTCATAGGATGTTACTCAAGATATATATTTTTAATTTACTGAAATGTGGATTTTGTAGAAAAGTATATAAAGGACAGGAAAATACCAAACATGGAAAACGACACAGATATTTTTGTAATTGAAACTGAAGTTTGTTTATTTTATTTCTGTGTTAAAATCAATTTTACGTTTCAATTTATTTAGCTTTTACCTTATAGATAAGTCTAAAGCCGAATTACAGATTTCTGATGTAAACGTATTCAAAGGGTTTCACTTGACAATAAATAACACATACGTAAAGTACCATTTTTTATTTTTAGAAAAAAAATTACCATTGGGCAATATATTACGGAATGACGAGCCTTTATTAGGATTAGGGATGAGGCAATAACACTGAAGAATTGAGGTTAATGACACATCGTGAGGTGAAGATTAAACAGAACTCTTCCATTAACTCACCTCCATCACTTTGGTTTGTTTTAAATTTCGCGCAAAGCTAGCTACACGAGAGCTACCTGCACGAGCCGTCCATAAGTTAACATTGAAAGACTAGAGGGAAGGCAGTTAGTTATCACCACCCACCGCCAACTTTTGGGCTACTCTTCTACCAACGAATAGTGTGGTTGACCGTGAAATTATAACGCCCCCACGGCTGAAAGGGCGAGCATGTTTGGTGAGACGGGGATTCGAACCCGCGTCCCTCAGATGTCGAGTCCAGCGCCTTAACCACCTGGCCATACCAGGCCCACCTTCATTAGATTGATGGTGCTGACGACGTGAAGATCAAAGCAAACCCTTCAGTAAACTCACCTCCATTAGATTGATGGTGCTGACGACATAAAGATCAAAGTAAACCCTTCAGTGAACTCACCTCCATTAGATTGATGGTGCTGACGACATTGTTTTTGTAGTAAAAAAGGGGTTTCTGCATCGACTCTCCCACAGCTTTCATGGCGGCAAAATGGATGACAAAGTCAATTTTGTGCTGTAGAAGTGTAAATGTAAAGCAATATGAGAAACATCACACAACGTGTAACATGATTATTCAAAACTTTTAATACATTTATGGTAAAAACAAGACTTATCACTGAACCACCGGGAGGAGGGAGGGGCAAGTCAGTAGAGATTCACCTAACTAAAAAAAAAGGTAATAATATTGTAAGCATGATTAACAAAATAAGCCAAACAGCTAAAATAATTAGTGTATGTTGGGAATAACAACAGCTGATAACCAAACGTTTCTTGGCCTGTCTTATAAATCTCTATTTTAAAAATGAACGCAAGTTAAAACGAAATTAAGTAGACGTAGTTTGGAATATACGAACGTACTTAAATGGTATTTTGGCTAAAGTTGTATACATTTCCTGCTGTTTTATTGAAAATTTAACCACTAGTTCACTTATTCCTTTATCAAGAAGATATTGTATATATTACATTTCAACCTCGCAAATTTTAATAAAACCGTCTTTTTTTTATCGTGTTTATAAAGTAATTGTATGATCTGAATAACGTTTAGTTTTAAGTTGGCTCATTACAATCATGGATGCAGAAACGAATGACAATATTATCGAGTTGATTATCGTACATTGATACGGTGAATATATATTGATGCAATTCTGGCTGTTTACCATACATAATAATACGTAGTTTATTAACTTCAAATCTTGTGCCTTGACATTTATTACTTTATTTCATACACAATCAGTCCTTAGCTTTCCGATGTTATCTAATCTCGGAAAATTTTAGCCCAAAGAAAGTAAACTTATCATCGTGCTGTCCGAGATACAAGCGTTCGACTGCGATACAGTGATAAATGTTATAAATAAATAAAGATAAAACGAAATACTAAATGATAGTAGTTTTAGGAAACCCTGCTCATATTGAAGAGTTTGTATAAGTCTTAGCACCGCAGTAAAACCGGGAGATATATGCAACCAAATATGATTTTAATATGTGTATTAACGTATATTTAATTCATTTGTATAATTTCTTATTATTAAGCACAAAGTTACACAGTTTGTTATTTATGGTATGCTCAAAGCGGGTGTAGAAACCCACTTTTAAGAGTAATGAAGCCTCAGACTTACCGCTGAAACACGGAGAGACAAGGCTTATTTATACACATCACAAACTATTTATTCAGGATGGACGTGATGATTTGTCTAAAAACAGCTATATGCTAATTCTCGAGCTACTTACAAATTGGTAGAATATAAATTCAAAACTTAGTGTACTTTTTTTTTTCTTTTATCACAAACCTACGTAGGAAGTACTTTGTTGATCTTTATCAATGGTCTAAAAACTGATAGAAAAAAACATTTTCATTTCGATCTTACAATGAAATGTTTCAATATTACAAAATAACAGAAAAAATATCCGCGCTTCAATATGGCCCGGAATAAGCGTTCGATAAATTTGGGCTAAGTACTCCAAATCGTCATTTAGGAAGTCACTTTTCTCCATAAACCAAGAAATTTTTCATTATGTAACAGGTGCAAGTATTCATCAATAAAAAAAAAAAAATCCCAAGATGCTTGATTTGTGGCTGGAAAACGAATTCCCAAAAATTCCTCTACAGTTATTATTTCCATTATTTTTTAATTTCACCCGGTGCTACCATTTGAATTTATTTCAATAATAAAAACAACAACATTTCCACTTAAGATTGAAATGCTTAGCGACAGAGGAATCACGATAAAAAAAAAAAGTTTCAAGCTGATTAGCAAAAGTTTAAAAACTTCAACTGACCCCAGCTGCGACAGTAAAACACTCGCACGCGTTTATACAGGTTGATCCTACGGTAATCTACTTTCATAAACGAACGAGGATAACGCCACAGGGTAGAAACTCGAGACGCAAACACAACTACAACGAAATCTACAAGTTCCTGTGATGCAGCAAAATATTTAAGATTATAAAAGCTGCTATTAGAACATGAAAGCCAGTTCTTAGTCAGTCGAAACGTTTACTGCTTAATTCTTTTCCTGGCCTTACGTTATTTTTAGAATTTCATTTTTTTCTGATATTATCATGCTATAGCTCATTCGTTTTTGTTCGTCGTTCTTGAACAGAACTTGCAAGTAAAACACAACAAATAATAATAATAAGCACAGGGGTACTGTATCAAAATTAAGCCCCAAAAATTAGCGCTTAGTTCAACAGTAATAACCACCATATACCGAGAAATGCCATGTCATCTAAAATCAAAACAGAAAACATTCCAGCAATCGGTTCCAGCTAGCCTAAATTCGAAACAGGGCACAGTCCAGTATCCAGCTACTGGACTGTGTCCTATTTTGATTTAGGCCAGCTGGATCCAGCCACTGGACTTTTCCCTGTTTCGATTCAGGCCAGCTGGAACCAGCCACTGGACTTTTCCCTGTTTCGATTCAGGCCAGCTGGAACCAGCCACTGGACTTTTCCCTGTTTCGATTCAGGCCAGCTGGAACCAGCCACTGGACTTTTCCCTGTTTCGATTTAGGCCAGCTGGAACCAGCCCCAGCTAGCCTAAATCGAAACAGAATAAAGTCCATTAGCTAACTACTTACAGGTGGCCTGAATTAAAACTTATCAAGGTCCAGTGGTCAATTTCTGTTGAAATATCAAACGCAAAGCATTTAAATATTCACTTTTTTTTTTCAGAAGTTAGGTTCTTGCACTCTGTCTTAATAAAAAGTGCGCAAGAATTGAAAGTTTTCATTAATGCGCCAGGGCAAAATATTGAGAGTTCGTGATTATTTTACTATTCTGGGATTTACTGCAGGTCAAACTTTTCTTGGTGCAGAATGATATCGTGCATTTTGTCTTTGATTCTTCATCATTGAATAGTATTCTTCGAACAGTTCGAGAGGCCTCTGTACTAAAAGGGCTATCGGCGCATAGCCATTCTTATTTTTAAACTGATAGATTAGAGGGAAGGCAGCTGGTTAACAGTACTCATCACGCACCCGTAGTCCTAAAATACGAAGCGCGATTTGGCGGCAACAGGATGCAAACCATGGACCATAAAGATTCAAAGCCCGGTAAGCTAAACACTAAGCCACGTCGGAGTCCGTAACGAAAAAAAAAAAAACTACGCATATTATTAAATATGAGAAT